TTTATTTATTTATTTATTTATTTATTTATTTTGGTATTTCAAGGAAGGGTCTACAGGGTGTTCAGGATCTTACTACTAGATCAGACTCATAGTGATCCGCCTGTTTACAGCCTCCCAAGAGCTGGGATTAGAGACACATTCCACCACACCCAGTCTCAACTGCCATCTCAGCACGCCCCAGGGACAGGCCGGCACTGCAGGCCGGGGGAATCGAACTCCTGGCCCCTGCTTGCAGGTGCTTTAATCCACTGAGCTACTTGGCCGGCCCTCTTGCTATGTAGTTTACCTTGAAATCACTACATGTTTAGGGTGGCCTGAAACAAGAGGCAATCATCCTTAATCCCCAACCCCCAGTACTGGGATTATAGGCATGTGACACCTCACCCAGCTAAAATTATTTTAAAAATTTCAAACATTCTCTCCCTTAACCCCAATAAAAATTAAACCTAGGGGCTTCACACTGAACTAGCCCCAGCCCTTATTAATTTTTGTTATTCTGACACAAAGTCTCATTGAAGCTGTCCTTCAAGCGTGCCTTACCAAACACAGGTTATAGACTTATCTTTTGTGTGTGTGTGTGTGTGTATGTGTGCATGCAGTAGTGGACACTGAACCCAGGGCCCCATACATGCAAGGCAACTGCTCTACCACTGAGCTATATCCCTACCCTTGTACTAATGAAAAATAAATAATAATACCTTAAAAGGTACTGTGATCCCAGTTTTAAAGTTTGTTGAGGCTATCCATTTGCCTGGCATGTTTTTTTTTTTCTTGGTCTTTCTGAGACAGGGTCTCATTATAACATTTCAGGCTGGCCTTCAGCTCACTGCATAGCCCAGGGTGGTTCAAACTTGCAACAACCCTCCAATCTCAGCCTCCCGAGTGCTAAGATTATAGACCGCACCACCACACGTGGCTTTTCTAGCATATAATTTTTTCAAGTATCCTATTTGAGGTTGTAAAGAATGTATGTTCTCTTTACTGTAAGGAACAACAAATTTGTTAGCTTATAAACTGTACCACTTAAGGTTTCCTTCATTCTTAATATTTTAAAATGGGCTGGTGAGATGGGTCAGTGGTCTAAAGCACCTACTTAGAACAAGCTTAGCAGAGCACAGGGACCGCGGTTCAATCCCCCAGCACCACATGCCAGCCAGCCCCGCCCCCTGGTGGGCTGAGCTGGTCTCACTCACACACACACACACACACACACACACACACACACACACACACAAATAAAATTTTAAAAAAATATATTTTAAAATACTCTCCCACATCTGCTTCTCCATGCATTTTCCCCGTCATCCTGATGAACTTCCCTCAGTGTTGCTACATTGTCCATACACTGGCAACAAACTATTAGTGTTCAATTACCAAGAGAGGCCATAATCATGCTCTCATTTTTTATATTTTTGCATTGGAAGAGTGCATTCTCTAAATATAGAAGTCTATAGATAGGCTGGTGGTGCACAACTGTAATTCCAGCACTTGGGAGGCTGAGGCAGGAGGATCACACAAGTTCAAGGTCAGTTTGAAACAACTTGTAATTTTTTTGGGGGGTGGTGGCCACTCAGGATTCCTTCAGGGCAGGTCTGGTTTGGCTTGAGGATGAGGGGATTGAACCACAACATCCTGAGCCTGACTGCTTTGTTTCAGCAGGCTCTTAAACACCACCTGAGCTAATGGGCAGGCCCCCATGAAATGACTTGTAAGACCCTGTCAAAGGAGAAGGAAAGGGAAGGAGGAGGGAGAAAGCAGAGGAGAAAGGATGGAGAAGGAGGGAAAAAGGAAGAGGAAGAGAAGGAGGAATAATCAATTTTTTTTTGAATAAAATCTTTTTTTTTTTTTTTAATGCATTTAGTACAGGGTTTGCAGGGTCTCACTATGTAGATTGGGCTTGTAGTGATTCTCCTGTTTTCAGCCTCCCAAGCGCTGGGATTACAGGTGTGCACCACCACGCCCAGTTTCAATCACCCTGTCACAGCACGCGGGGGTTCAATCTCCAGCCGCTACCCTCTGCCTAAAGCAGGCACTTCAGTCTGCTGAGCTATTGGAATAATTAATTTTTTGAATAATTAATTTTGAATCAGAAAAAAAACACCATTATGGAGGTAGACTTTTGGGGGAGGTTTATGTTTTGTTTTTTGTTTTTAGTGCTGAGGAC